AACACAGGTTTGTTTTAACTTCTTATACATCTGAAATTTCAGTTAATGAATGGTTCAAAAAGAATGCTCTAAATGTACTTATTTGTTTCCAAATGAAACATTTCAGGGGTGCATTTGGAGTGATCCATTTTTTTGCAGATTTATGTTGCTAACTTAATCATATACTAATATTTTGCACTCAAGATTACTAAGATTTGGTTTTGGTCTGTTTTTCTCATTCATTGACCTGCTTGTCAGTAATTCCACAAATATCACTTTTTTCTAATTGTGATTTAATGATGAATCTTCAGATCAGGTCTAGCAAGTTTCTTATGTTACATCTTTTATGTGTCTCTGTCACCATGATTATTTTTCCAGACCAACTTTAGAATTACATCTTCAACTTCCAAAAGTTTATGCATTATTTGCTAATGATTAGAATTTTATTAAATCTACTTGTTACTTGAGGTCAAAATTTTAAAAAGTTTACAGTTTACAATTAAACTAAAAGAAATCTGTATGTCTTTTGCTTTAGTCAAGTCTTTTTTGTAAAGGTTTTATTTTGTTCTTTGGTTTGTGCATAGGTAGAGAGAAATGTTAAAGATGAAATAAAATTTTTCTATTATCTTTTCTATTTTGAAAAGCTTCAAAACATGCTCTTTTATCTAGGACACATATTTCATCATGGATTATACCTGTAATTCACCAAAACTATTGTTCTTCATTTGGTTTAGTGCTTTTCCACCTTGAATATAATTTTGTTGAAATTATATTTCACTCTTACTTTGTCTGTGTTTGTCTGATAAATCTTTGCACTTCTTTGTAAAACAATGGCATTTTGATTTAGGTAGTTTCCTTCTAGTTATCATGTCATTGAATTTTATTTTTAAGCATATCCTTAAGATATTTTTCTTTTAATAGGAAAGTTTAAACAATGTACGGTAATAATAGTTTGTTTGGGATTCTGTAATTTTAGTTTGTCGTCTTCCTTTACTGTCCATTCTTTGTTTTATGGGTTTGTTTTATGTACATCCTCTTTCCATGAAAAGACTTTTTTATGTGCTTGTTTTCAAGCAATGTCATTCAGCTAGGTCTAATTATTAAATTCAGGGCTAAAAATGTTATTCTTTCATAACTCTCAATATACTATGAGAAATTTCTGTCCATTCATAATCTCATCATTATGGCATATTCAATTTGAATTATATGTGCATTAAAATACTTTACATATATCTCATTTTAACTCCTGTCTTACATTTCCAGTGAATTTGGACCTTGAGAGCTTGTTTGGAGTTGCTAGCAGGGGAACTCAGCTACTGACATACCCTTGACAGAAGAACTGTTCTTCTCTATTAGGGGTGGTCTTCCTCTTCCACGGAGTGTGCAGCTTTAGGGGGACGCACATGGAGTGCGTTGAGGAGGAAAGGGAAAGGGAAACCGCCTAGCCAGCCAAATCAGCTGAATCAACCCGGGGGATCAATGGGGTGACAGATGTCCCAGCCAGATTGCCTTCATATCCAACACTTACAGTTAATTTGGAGTCACACTGCTTTCCTCACTCCCTCAGCTACACTGGCCTTTTGCTCTCCCCTCAAGTAAGTGAAGCCAGGCCTAATTGTGGAGGTCACTTCTCTATTGTATTTTCATCCCTATGGGAGCTGTCTCTCTGCATGTTCCTGGTTTCCATGCAAACATGTCCTTACTTGAGAGTCTCTTTTAATTTGTCTCCGTACATTTGCACTCCTTCCTTCCTTCCCACTCCAGCAAGTAAATGTTCTGCACATTTGCCAGCAGCAGAACATAAAAAAACTTACAGTATCCTAAAGAAAAAGAAACTATTGTAGTCAAGAAATCAGGCTAAATTTCAAACACATACTTGTATAACAATTATAAAAACTTACCTTTGAATAAAGGAGATGTAATTAATAGAATGAAACTGTAAAGTTCAATTTTCCAAATTATAGAGATAAGAGCACACAGAGCAGAGATCACGTTAAGAATGAATGGAGACAATTGAGAACGAATAGGCGTCAAGTGTGGCTCTGTATCTCCTCTACAACTGCCATGTACGGGAGATAATAGTGCTTATGTTTTGCTGCCCTTAAGAGAAGGTACAATGCATTAACTTGCTGGAGAAACTTGTTAATGAACCAAAGAATCTTCCATCTTTTCTTCCAGTGTTGTGTCAGCTCAAGCATGTCACAGAAAGATATATATACATAGCAGAACAAGTTGCATTTTTATATTAGCATAGTTTGGGTCAATTTCCTTGATAGGTCAAACACGCGCAATCTTTATGTCCATAATTTTTGTTTCCCCATCTTCTGGAAAACCAACGAGTTTAGAAAACTGTGCTTATGATTCCTAAGTCACATTAAGACCTGTTGCACTCTCCTCAAAAGACAAATTAAACAAAGATTAAAATTGTGAAGTATTTTTGCCAGCTTTTGGTGAAATACTTAAGCTAAGAATTGTGCTTGATGAGGGATTTTTGATGTGCTAGAGAAACTGTCTATTGTATATTTCTTTTTTCTTTTTTTTTTTTTTTTTTTTTGGTTTTTCTCTGGTACTGGGAACCAAACTCACGACCTTGCGCTTGCCAGGCAGGCGCTTTTGCCACTGAGCTAAATCCCCAGTCCCCCATTGTATATTTCAAAAAGTGGGTGTTTCTATTAATATTCAACATTGCCCCAGCTCATTTCTGCCGGCAATGGAGAAACAAACCAAAAAACAAACAACTTTCTTATTTGAAGCAGGTGCCTTAGTCAAGCTCTCAGACCCAGGACTTATGTTTTGAACTGAGCTCTCTTTGGTGTCAACATAACCTTAAGCTGCTCAGCCTAGTGATAAAATAAAAATCTCACCAGTAGAGGGCTACAAAATAATGTGACAACACTAGACGCTGTTTGGCATTATCTTGGACTGAGAATGAAGAGGGTGGCAGAAAACCTCTGGGCTGGTTCCATCTCTTTGTGTCCTTAATTTTAGACTTGTTAATTTAATGCATCAAACCAATCTAAACCTCTTAAGAAGGAAAATATATTGAAAGGGGAAAGACCAAAAAATGATTCTTTATATCGCACATTATCATTCATGGTATGTGATTCTTCTTTTCTCAATTAGCATGTGAAGTAAATAAGGATCAGGGAGTTTCGTGGGTGTAACATCTGTGTCACAATGGGTATTTGTACTTAGTGAATGTTATGGTTTGTGTCTCAGTGTTCCCCTAACGCCTCATGCAGTCATGGGGCAGGCTTTTAGAGTTTGATTGATTATGGGTGTGAGAGCTACACCTGCCCTGGGGTGGATAGTTTGCATATGTAAGGGAGAGGAAGAGGCTGTTTCCGCCATTCCTCCTTTTGTGGTTGTTGCTTTTGCTGTGTTCTGCCTCCATGAGCTGTAGCCCTCTACCATGTGCCTCTCTGCCTTGTAACCTGCCAAGTATGGACTGAAACCTCCACAAACTGTAAGTGAAATAAACATTTCCTTCCTTAATTTTGGGTGTCAAGTATTTCGCCCCAGCAATGAGAGAAAAGTAACCAAGACAGTGAGGCTGGCAAATTACTTTGCTAGGAGTTGCTGGTGAACAGGGCAAGTTAGGCTATTGAATTGTGTGGACAGATTAAAAGGGAGGGACACTGGTTCCTGCAACGTGAGAAGACTTCATTTTACCCTTCAGTCCTTAATCTAGTAAGTGAGTGAAGTTAACCTACTAGAGATCATGACTTTCTCCTGCCCCACCCAATCTTTTCTCCTATATACCTGACTCCTTAGAGTCATTTAGGATTAATTTCTCAGGGGAACACATTGAATGTCTGTGAGGGTAAATTAGAAATTATCATCTGAAGCTTAAGTTACCATATTACTATATGAGAAAAAATAATCATTCTAAGCATAGAAAAAAAGACAAAAATGTAAATTTGGAAATATCCGTGATTAACCACATAATCTGTCTTCTAGTAAATAAACTACTTCCTGAAAGCTATATCGTTATCTGGGAACTTTCAAATTTTTATTATGCTTGTACCACCTAGTGTTTACATTCCTGTGTGGAGCTGGTCCACATACATAGCACATCTTCATTGCTTTTTCATTCCTTTTCCCTCTCTTCTCCTTTCTCCTTCCTTCATCTAGTCATCCCCTTCCCTTTTGAGAACTTTCTATCTCTTTACTCCCCATTCTGTATTTTTTATTTTGCTCTTTATAATTTGGGTTCCTCATATAAGAGAAAGCATGCCATATTTAAGCTTGTGTGTCAGACTTATTTCCCTTAACATTATAGTCTTAAGGTGCACCCATTTTCCTACAAATGACATTTATCTTTGTTTATGGTAAAGTAGTCCTCCGATGTGTGTAAAAACCATTTTCTTTATCTATTCCTCTGTGCATGACTGTACAAAGCACCCTTAACTTTTGTCACAGGTGTACCCTTTTGTATTGAAAATAAGATTTATGAAAGAGTACTCAGAGCCTTAGGTTTTCTAAAACACCCAAAGTATTCCCAAAGAGCAGGGGAAACATTCGGAGGATTTGATTTACCATGTCTGTCTTGACTGTGATTTGAGGCATCATTTTCTGCCTAGTACCTTACTTTTATGTAATTTTACAGCCACGATATAACTAAGGAATAGATGAAATTCCAAAATGCATCTGTAACCCAACCATCTTTTCATTTACGATATACATCAGGGATTGGCACCCTAGTCCCATAGAAAAAATCTGGCTCATCATTTATTTCTGTAAGTAGAATTTTATTAGAACACAGCCATGTCCCTTCATTTACATATTATTTATGACTATGTTCATGCCTATGAAAACAGGGATAAAGCTCAGTGGCACAGCGCCTGCCTGGCAAGTGCAAGGTCCTAAGTTTGATTCCTGGTACCAAAAAAAGCAATGCGTAGTAGTGTTCACAGAAATGGTAAAACCCACAAAAGCCTTAAATATTTACTGACTGGTTCCTTACAGAAGTGTGCCAACCACTGGTGTATATTATTAAATATATTAGTAACAAGCATCAGTAAGGATATCATAAATTCCTCTTTTATTAGTACTTCTATAAATCAAGGATACATGAAATATATTTCATTGGAACTCAATCTTATTTCCAAAGAAATTATGAAAAAATTGTCCTCATAGTCAACGTTTGTTCTTAAGATTTCCTTCCCAAGAGTCAAATACCACCTCAGAAAATAAGACATACACATTCAAAAGTGTTCTTTTATTATTTCTAGTAACATATATTGTATAAATACTCTATTTTTATATGCACTTTAACAAAAGTGATATAATTTAAACGTTTTATCATTAGAAATAAATGTATAAAAATAAATATGTTATATAGGCATTCATTACAAACTATAGTCCTTCTTAGAAGGAACACACACACCAATACTTATAAAGTACATACAATCTATAGTAACATATTTTACTATATACATATGGAAAAAGTCATATTCTCTCAGTAGAAGAGCTGAACAGACATTCACCAGGATATGACTGCTGGATCAGCTGCCAGGAATGGACCTGCTACCCCTCAGCAACGTCCCCACCATGAGACAAATGATCTCAATGTTCCCAAACCCATGGGTCCCTGCTGCTCTACACACCCCATGCTTATTGTGGCATTACGTGCTTTTTGTGTGATCTTATTTGTTTTCGTGAGAAACAGATTATTTCCTTATATCTGAATTCCCAAAGTAGGCTTACATATGGAGAGAAAGCAGATTGGAGGTACCAAGGTCACCATGTTGCCTTCAATTTTTACCAGCACTTAGTATTATGCTGCTTTTTTTTTCTTGCCCTTGTAGACTTGATGTACTTTTATGAATACACATATTGTCTTCTCTTGAAAATGAACTACAAAGATGGACATGGCAGAAGAAGGTGAAGGAGTCATAAAGTATTTCATATAGCTGAAACTTTTCCTCAGGTTGAACAGTCTCGAATCTTAAAATTTACAAACGTTCTGTGCCATAAACAGTGCTGGTCAAAGATCCTATTTGTAACTCTCCCCATTTTCAGTGAGATAAGGTAAGCCATGTCTTAAAATCTCATCTTTCTTGATTTACTTTTCCTAACCTCCACTACTCAAAGCATTTAATCAGTACCAGGAAACAGGGCATACAGGACTTCTTTGGACAATTGTTTCTGTCATAGATGTAACAAAAGAAATAATAATACCCTGTGGCTTTATCATTGCTCAGGGGTTAATACTCAATAGCTACCCTATCAAATTTGTAACTGGTAGAATATTCTCATGATCTAACATCTACCTAACTCCACACGGCCACCTCATTGACACACCTCACTGGTAACTGGCAAGATACATGGGATCCCTCCAGGACTCTGATTTCAGTGCACCAGCCCTTCCACACCGCCTTTTCCTCAAACCTGACACTGCTTAACTGCACTCTGCTACTGTGCAAAAGTCAATGTAATGCTTGGGTTTCTTTAAAGGATCACAGCTCTCATGAGACAACACACCCCCATCATGGGACAGACACTTCAAGGTTCTCTTTTTGTAACCCTTCCCACAAGTCTTAGAACATGGTGACCAGTCCCCCAGCTGCCAGTGTGGGCAAGGTGTTTCTGCACAAGGTCTGGTGCTGGCTGGCTTCACCTCCTTGGCACACTCAGAAGCGGGCTGTCCGTTCATGTCTTTGCATTCTACCACTCTTCTCTGCAAACCCAATCCACATGACTTAGAACATTCACTCCACTCTTCAATGACCCATTCGGAGAAAGTGGGGATAGCGTTGAATGATTCCTTCTTCTTTTTCACAAAATAGGTGTATTTAATTTTGGGCCGGAGGGCATTGCCTACAGTAAGCACCTGGATGGTTAAGGGCTCTTGAAGGGGGCTAAAGCTGCGAATTCTTTCCAATGCTGCGGAAGAGCCGCTGTACCTTAACACAACACCTTTATAAGTAATGTCTTGTTCTAAAGTGGACAAAGTGAAGTCGCCATTCAGGATATAGGTACCATCTGCAGCTTTGATGGCCAGGAAGCTGCCATTGTTTCTAGACCCCCTTGGATTCCGCTGTTTCACTTCGATGTTTGTGGCTCCCGTGGGAATTGTAACAATATCATGATACCCAGGTCTGTAAGCAAGAAAAATAGACACAGGTCTTTCATTCACTGGCTAGTCAATTACTTATCTTAAAAAACATAGTTGTTTACAGTGCATTTTCCACATCTAGATTATAAGAGCTCAGAGAGTATACATTGCAAAACTTACTTTGCGCTAGTAACTGATCCTGATATTTTCTTGCAAGTAGATCCATTTCCTCCACAAATACCACATTTATCAAACTTCTTTTTGGAATCTATGATTCGATCACAACCAGCCTTTACACACTGTCCTTGAACACAGACAGAAGTGGAGTCTGGACTACATGGGGTACCATCTACAACCTGAAAAGAGAATGACACACATCCGATGTTATTCTTTAACAGGGAAAGAAATGATGTTATACCTGTAAACATTTTCCTCTCTTTTCTGGACCAGGCTAATTAAAAATAGTATTCTTCAAACCTGCACACACTTCTCTTTTTTTTTGCTTTTTATTTTCTTACTAGTACAGACAGACATCTGAAAAAATTATAAATTCTGAACATTGGTTTGGTCATTGGATCTTCACTACAGTTCAGGTCAATGAACATAGAGCTCTCTGTCAATTTGTTTACTGGTATACCCTCAGTGCCTCAATGAATAGCTGCCAATAGAAGGTGCTTTATAAGTCACTTACTAAATGTTGAATCTGCAATTTAGGAATATTTTTATAGCCTACAGTGCTAATGATACATGATAATCTCAACCAAATTAAACTGCATTTTCTTTGTTAGAGACAGGGTTAGCCTCTCAGGAAAAAGTACTTCTTGTTCAATATATATGCTCAAACATATGAATTATCAGTACTCAGACTTGCTTTTTAAAAGCATGTTTGCACATATTACTGATGGTTATCCAGTAACAAGTACTTTGGACCATGCCTAAACTATTTTTCAAAACCACTGGTTGCTATGTTAATATATAATTTATCTAACTACAGTTGTATGTGAAAACTAGTTATCAAGAGAAGCACTTGATTTTTTAAAGGGCATTTCTTTCTACATAAAGGAGTATTACTAAGCAATTGCAAAAATCTTAAGTGGTGGATTTAAGCTTCATTCATAATTTGAAGCAACACTAACTCAAAGCAGGCAGCTGCTGCTACATTTAGAAGAACAGAAGTCAGAATTTAAAATTGAACACAGAGCAAAACAGAGTAAAGAAAGCAAAGCAAATGTAGCATAAAAGGTGGGAAGCCAAGGCCTTGGTACTTAGGCAAAAAGTAAGTATAAAATATGTACCTTAGGCTGTAAAACAAAGAAGTAGCCAATGCCTTTGGCCTGACAGATGAGCTTGCATCTGTCCTTTGGTGAGACACCAGCATACTTTGGTGTCCACTCCACTGCAGGGCCACTCCCAAAGGAAGCTTTTGAAAATTCATTGTGTTCCTCACATTGCTCTTCTCTAAAGGTTTTTCCTGGAAGGAGAACGATATGATGACATTATCAGTTTCCAACCTTTATCCACCTGTTGTAGGTTCCGTCTCTTACCCCACTTACTGAAAGTGGAAATCCATTGCTACCTACCGTTATTATCTGGACAGTCCTCAATGTTGCAGGATCTGTAGCGCACTCGTTTGCCTTCACAGTACTTCCCCCCATTCTTTGGGACTGGGTTGTCACATTCCCTCATTGTATACTGAACTCCTCCACCGCAGGTTCTGGAACAGTCTCCCCAGGGTCCCCATGGTCCCCAGCTTCCATGAACAGGAGTCTAATGAAGACACAAATCATCCGAGTTAGTTAGAGTTATCCAAGGAGACCTCTTAAGGAAGAAAAGGAAAAAAAAATAACAAGGAACTAAGACTCAATTCTAAAATTAAGCTAGGTTGTATTCCTGTTACAGGACGTAGATGGAGCATTTAACTTGGTAAAATAATCTTTTAAACATTACTTTGGTTTTTTTTCTAATTGTGAATTATAAAGGGATGCAAATGTGCTTCAACTCACATCAAAATGTTTCCTGTCAGTCTTGTTCACACACTTGCTGTTGACACACCACTTTCCTTCTCCACAGCTGGTGCCGTCAGCCCATGGAAAGTGTTTGGTTTGACACACCAGCAGGCTGCCAGAATTACCAGTGCACCACAGAGTGGCACACGTACTGGCTGCATCGGGACAGTGCTTGGACTCTTCTCCAAATGTGAACTGGCACTGCCGGTTGGCATCATATAGGGTCCCAGGGAGATCAGATGGCAGCTGTATGGAATTCTGTGGTTTGTCCATCAAACATTCCCCTGCAAAGGAAACAATACTAGTATCAGTAATTAGTTAACGACAGCATGGTTTTGCAAAATGTATATCATATAAAATCATGCATAGCAAAGTAATTTGAGGGCTGTATAGTTTGGGATAAAAAGGCCAGGAATTTTGGATTATTAGTTGTGATTCTCAATAAATTATTTCTGGCTTAACAATGATAGGAAGTTATTATTCTTCTCAAAATGTGAATGAACAGACTTCGGGACCTAGAAGTCTAGGTCTAGACTTCTAGAAGCACTATCTTTCACTGGAAATGAAGAGCTGAATATTTACGATGCTGACAGTGAAAAATAGTTTTGAAACAGGGAAAATAAAAATAGAAACAAAGAGTTTACCTAAGTAGAATACTATCCAAGAAAAGCTGGGCACCATCTAGAAGAGCTTGAGAGTCTTACCGTGACCATTATCCAGAAATGACGTGATCGTGTAGGCACTGCAGGGAGACCAAGGCTGGCTGCGGTCCAAATTGGAAAGCATTGAGGCCATCATGTGGGAATCCCGGTTCACGACATTCAGACTGGCACACTGCTTTGCATCGTCATGCGGCATGTTAAACACATGGCCTAGGAAGCAGTCCAAAGCTTTTATTAAAATACAGGTCATCGGCAGCATTTTTTTCCCTATTGACTGAGTTTGTCTCAAAGTGATATTTCAGCACAAACGAATACATTTAAGAAACAATGAATTTTAGATATGATGCCTACTTTCCAAAGGGTGTAAAAGAACATGTAAATTTCCAAATGTCCATAGCTCATATTCTTTTTATTCTAACAAAGACGTTTGAAATACTGGAAAATATTTCCTATAGTCATTTCTAAAATGCACGAGTACATGAAATAGTAACATGATCTACAAACTCTACCTCTCTAACATATTGTTTTATCAGTTAGAATCTATGAATTAGACTTAACTTGTACTCTTAAATAGACTTACCTAATTCATGGGCTGCGGTGAAGGCAGCTTGTAAACCATCATCTTCTATGACAGAGCAGCTTCTGCTAGGATCACACACAGTTCCAACATCTGCCATCCCAAGAGTATCACATGTCTGGGACCCACACAGGTCCTAAAAAAGAGTAAAGATAAATCTTCATATTGAAAAGAACAGTCTGAGCTTTGGAAGTTAACTTTTTAGCAGAATGGGTCTTCACATATGTTTTGGAGCATCTATATTCATTATTGTTGAGCTAGGATGAATCTATGTGATTTTCATTAAAACTTTTATTAATCTTTTAAAATAGAACTGTGTAATTTCAGATATTAAAGTTATGGTAGAATTAAATAAGAACATGTAAGACAACTGAAAACATTGCTGAGATGACTCTTTTCCATTTTGTTTCATACCATGCTAATTCTCAAAAGGACAGTATGGTGATTGGTGCCATCTTGCTCTCACCTGTCTGGTGAAAAGAATCGCCGTGTCATAATGTTCTGCATCCCGGTCACTGGGTGGGTTGTGCTGCTTTTGCCAATTGCAGAAGTTCCGCAGAGTGAAGGCAGCATTGGAGGTCACCTCTGGCCCCTTCTGTTCCTCATAAATGACCAAAATCTTCACTACCACCAGGCTAACTGAATTCCTAATGCTGGGGTGTTTGTACAGCCTTGCTGCCACCGAGAATAAGGTGAGAAGGTAATGCTTTAGACCACTGCCATGGAACTCTGCCATTGACTGGTCAGCCACAAGCATGGTTTCCACATAGCGAGGGCTGGACACAAACCGCTTCTTTCTTACACTTCCAGTTCCTGTCAAGAAACAAGAGAGATAGTTTTCTCACTGGCAATTTCTCCAAGAATAGTTACCTGCCCAGAGTATACAAGGAAAGCCAGATGAGTCAAAGCAAATAAAACCAAAATACATCCGAAAAATAATAACAAAAAATATTTGCATCTCTTTTTTACTGGAAATGGTTATTTTTAAAAGTTTTTTTCTTTCGTTTGAAATTAAAAATAAAACGTGCTGAAAGGAATGATCTGTCTTTTTTAGTACGTGTGCGAGCAGGATTTCTTTTGTCCTCTTTGGAATTCTACAATCTGAGCGAGGCCGTATGCACATCATACTACCCAGCTGTAGTAAAAAGCTGGAGCAAGAGCAGCAGGCAGGGCGCCCTGAGTCACTCTTTCACTCTGGAAGCCAGAACCCAAATGCTGAATGAGATCATCCTGCGCCACGTGGAAGGCCAGGGGCAGGGCTGGGGCTGCTGCCAAGGGGCGGGACCTGAAGGAATCTCAGCCTGCATTGCTCAGCTCTCATTCCAGGGGTCCCTGGGGCGCTCTGCTCAGGCCAATTCCGGGCGCAAGGACCACCCACTCCGACCAACAGTCCATTGGCTCACTCTCACTGCCCCAGTGAGATAAGTTCATGCTGCCAGCCAAGGCTGATTATTTGGAAATGAGCCCTGGGGCTACTGACACCGAGACCAACCCCCAGGAAAGTTCTCAACCCGGCTGTGATCACATAACTGCTTCTCGGAGCAGATCAGCTGCGGAAATGGCAATTCTTAAACAAGGCATGTGAGAAAGTTTTTTTTTTTTTTTTTTTGGTTTGTTTGTTTTTAAAAAAGGATTCGAGTGATAAAATTAAAAGAACTTGATAGCAGGCCCTGCACGGAACAAGAGTCAGGGACACCACCACAGAAAATCTGCCGCGAGTAACGTTCCACAGTACTTGAGGGCCGAGTTACGGCCGCGAGGGGGAGCGCAGGCTGAGAGGCGGGGTAGGAGGGATCGCAGGCGGGGCAAGCCGCGCAAAGACCTCCCAAGCAGGTTCCAGAGAGGGGCCCCGCCACCCCATTCGGCCTCTTAAGAGGGTAAGAAGACAGAAGCCGACAGGACAGACGGTAGCTCAGTGGCCCAGGCTTGCGGGCACACTCGGAGGTCACTCTCGCTCCCTTAAGCTATCTCCGCCCTCTGAGCGCTGGGCGCACGCACGGCGGTTACAAAACTCAGCGCGAAGCTGCAAGCCAGCCAAAGAGCGCACATGAGAACGTTAAAAGGAGAGCAAAGGAATGGAAAGAAGTCATGTGCGCTCTCACTCGGCGAAGATGTAAAGAATCGGGTTACAAACTCTCCCTTCCCAGTCCAAGTACTTTATCTCCGTCTGCGGAAAATCAATGATTTTTTTTCCCGGCCTCTCTTCGTTATTCATTATTTGGACAAATAAAATTAAATTTTCTAGCAGGAGTTAAACTCACTCGTCTGTCCACCAACCCAAACAGACCGACTTTCCTGCCCGCGAGCTGGAGTTTAACCTCCATTAACACTGGATAGGGAAAATGGGGACGGGGATGAATGGCCAAAAGAACTAGGGAAACTTTCTACCTGCTGGCTGCCCGGCCAGGGGGGGCGCCGGGTCCCGCGGTGGCCTCTGCGGCCCTGCGTCCTCCCCTTCTGGTTCCGCGCCCCTCTCGGGCAGGGTCTCGGCGTCCAGGACTCCGCACTTGGGGCCGCCGCCGCCCCGCCGCCTTCGCCGCAGGAGATGGAACTGAGGCAGCGCCAGAGGCTCCTCCTTGGCGGCAGCGGGGGCGAGGCGCTCGGTAGCAGCGGCAGGCGCGGGCTGGATGAAGAATTCTTCACCCTGCAGGTAGAAGGCGCCACGGACGCCCTCGCAGAGGCTGAGAGCGGCGGCTGAGCTGGGGTCACCGTTCACCGTGCCGGAGTAGAAGCAGTGCGCCAGGTCGCCGGCAGGGTCCAGACGCTGCTCCTCGGCCTCAGGTTTGCGCCCCACAGTCTGCAGTGTGAAGCCAGGCGCCAAGAAACCGCGGTCGGGCTGCAGTTCCAGGTGCAACTGCAGGCCAAAGGCGTCCAGGCGGAGGCGCGTGGTCTGGTGTCCTGGGGCGCGCTCCAAAGCCGGCAGCACGAGCTCCTCGTCCTCCTCCGCGGGGCGCCCGAGCGCGCCCGGCACGACCAGCAGTACTGGGGTCGCCGCGAGAAGTAGCAGCAACCACGGTGCAGCCTGGGGGCGCCGAGACCGAGGGGGCCGCTCCGCGTTTCCCATGTCGCCGTCCGGAGTGTGCCTTCGGTTCCCAACAGGGACTGCTCGCTGCACCGGAGCCTCGGGTGACACCGTGCGCCCCAGCGCGCCCAACGAAGCAGAGCTTTTGTTCGGGTCAGAAGAGCACAGCTTCTCTGGCGTCTCTCTGGATGGATGAAATGAACAATTGCTGTTACTCTTTGAAAGTACGCGCAGAGCTAGCAACAGCTGAAGCTCTCAGAGTCACTTCGGAGACGCTGGGGTTCTGGTGGCGCGCGGGAAGGTTTTCTTCCAGGGCCGGCTTGGAAGCACCGCACCGCAGGCGCTGCGGGAACCAGAAGAGCTCTGAGACACCACCGGGGCTCAGGCAACTGGAAGATCAGAGCCCAGCGCCACTTCGTCGTCTGCCTTGGCCGAGGTGCTGCTCGCTCTGAGCAGGACTCTGCCCTCTCCTCCCGGCTGTGTGCTTTGGCTTTGCAACAGCCCCTGGCTCGGAGCCGCTTTCCAGCGAGTGCAAGAACCGGGCAACCCGGGCTGCCCCTTTATAGTCCACAGTCCCGGCCCCTCCTCCCACTTGGCGGCCTTTCCAACGTGAAGACGCCGCCCCCTGAGCTCAGTCGGTGCAGAACCACGCTCAGCGCCGCGGGCCCCCGGCGGGGGAGGGGGCGGCCTCCTCCGCGCTGGCTTCGCGCCACGGCTAGTCAATCTGGGGGCGGAAGACGCAGAAGGGGCGCTGTGACCAGCACTTTGTACAGCCCCGGCTGCTGAGGGGAGAAGGTTCTCCCTGCCCTGGTGCCTCTCCCCTGCTGACTTCCTGGACCACCCTGCCTTCCTGCCGCCCCTCCGGAGCGGGAACACTGTTACCGCGCCGGGTTGAGTTCCCAGGAGAGAGAGTAGGAGTGAAGAATTGAGTCCCTTCCCTAACACGTCCTGCCCTAGAGCTGCCCCCGAGTTTCCCTTCTTCCCACATAGTCCTTTATTCCCTGTCTGGGAAAGGAGCCAAGGCTGTCCCCTCTCAGATACTCCCGGGCACCTCTCCATCTCCCTAGCCCACCATGCGCTCCTTTCTTTGCGGCAGCGAGCTCTCCCTCTCTGCCTCAATTTTTTTAGGGGAAAATTTGGATGACTGCGCTTCTCGCTAGAAAGCAGGTGAGGGTGTGGGGCCAGGGGGCACAACCCAGACTCTAGATTTTAAAACGTGTTTGCATTGGCCTTCACCCCCGCCCCCCAGACCTCTCTGCGGGTTACATTTCCGGAATAGGTGATCTGGAACAGGGTTCAGTTCCCTAGAGCCTAGGGAGGGAACTGCGCTTTCTCGTCTTCATTGGAGAAATGACCAACTCCTGCCCAGCCCGCGTCCTTCCACGCTGCAGGCCTTAGGCCAGACGGGCAGTAACGTCTAGGAACCCCGTTTTCCTAGTCAGGGGCCGGTGGCGATCGCTGGGTGCAGCAAGATGGGGTGCAGCAGAGAAAGGAGGAAATCGGTTTTCTTTCCCAACCCCTCCCTCCGCTTCCTACCAGGAAGGGAAGAGGCTGCATCAGTGTTACGAAAGCGCAAAGGCTCAGCTTTTCTACTCCCAGGTCCCCAAGTAAAAGCTGAGCGGCCATTCCATTGAAAAAGGGAGGGACTCCGTGACCCGGAGGAAGGAAATGTTTCACAATGCTCTCACGGGCGGAAAGCCAGAGGGACAATGGTGAGAAAGACCGCCCAAGTCCCGGGGCAGAGTGGCGCGCACTCCCACCCACCGCCGCGCGCTCCCGGCTCCGTCTCGCCGCCCTTCCCCCGCCTTCTCGGCCCCTGCCTCACTCCTCCGGATCTCCCCAGCTCCAGTGGGTCCCGGCCAGATCGTCCCCTGGAGTACTCCTACGCATCCCTCTTCCAAACTTTTCTAGCAGGATTCTTTCCAACTTCTTCCTCTCAGTGTTCTAGATTGCTTACTTGAAAAACAAAATCTTTGCTTCCCGCTCTGTCTTCAGGAAAGATCAAAGGAGAAAGAGTGGCGAGCAGAAGTAAAAGGAGTTACCCTTCAAATGGATTAGGAACAGTCCCGGTCGTCACCCCCTCCCGCTTAGTGGGGAACGCTTTAAATGTGATCTTGGCTTCCTAAGATCACACTCATAGTTAAAAGTTCAATGATCAACCCAAGACTTTGGTATATTTTAACAGCACCTTCAGCTATCTGCGTTATCAGTTTCTTTCCTTTGCTCTTCCTCTCAGCCACCGTGGAACACTTTTATTGTTTGTCTGTCACCTCCTTTGAGCCTCTCCTTTACCTCTCTGCCTCATCACATTCCGTTTCTCCCTTAAAATTACCTTTGACTTCTGCACTCGTGTGGCCCACTTGATTGCACCTTGCCTATCCTCTTTTCATTTTTTACACTGCTTTGTAAGTGGTCTTTTCCAAGCATCTGAACATCTCTGGAGACTTTTAGTTTTTAATTTTGTTTACAATACTTCTTTCATATTTTGCTTTCTAGCATTTCATTTCATTTCACTTTCGCAAGAAGAAAGGTTAGACGCTTGGGAGAACGTTTGAGTAAAGTCATTTTAGACTCACAGGATATTAACCGCCAAATCAGAAAGGCATAAGGGCGAGGTCATCAGTACATCTTCAAACTTCTTGCTTAGAAAAGAGCTCAGAACATAAATGGTGATCAGCAGACCGGCTCTGAGATGGAGATATTAGGTACTTGAAATGGCCCCGGGGCCTAGATACTTACCTGGTCAGTGGAGCAGGAAGGGAAATTTCGAAGAGGCAGAAAATGTATAACTTTACAAAATCATGTAATGTATTCCAGTCTGTCAGTTCCTCTATATGAACTTTAGCTTTTTAAAATCCATTAATGCAGGTTTGGCCTAGAGTCTGTATCTCTCTGCAGCGCGTTCTTAGTGGAAGTTTAATTCAAGGCATACATTTCTAATCTTGAATGGGTTACTTCAAATCCGTTATAATTTTTTCATAGTTCATGTTGTATATCCAAATAGAACTGAGAAAAAAAAAAAGCAGTGAGTTAAAGGCAAAAGGATTGCCAGGAACATGGCTTTTTTATTCTCTGGGTTTCTCTCCAGATTTCTGTTCTTTTGCATAATGACTCCAATCTGTTGTGCACCTGTAGTTCTGGGAAATGATTCTTTTTTAATCGCTTCAACAGAGACATGGATGCTGAAGTTGCCAATTGCTAAGCTGAAAAACTCCACGCTCAGAACATCTAATCCATTTACTCTTTTTGTAGATCAGCACTCTTCGGGTGTTTGCAGTATTACACAATATATCCATATAATAAAAATGTGTATTTATATGCAAAATGTGAATTGAACAATCATTTATGTATAGAAATAAGATTGTAAGAGTTAAATTTATTCATGGCACTAGTAGAAATGATATTATGTTATGTTCTTGTAGTTTTACATTCCCATCCTCCCACGATTTTTGCTCCTTGAGTTGAACGTGCATCTAGAATATAATGTACAGTTTTAATCCGTATTCCCCACATTTCTGGTTTTCTTTTTATAAAACACATATGGGTTTGTACAAACATTAATATTAATATGCTTTATTTTTATTTATTTTTGTCTTTTTGAGATAGGATCTCACTATGCAGTTCAGGCTGGCCTTGAGCTCACTTTCTAGCCCAGGCTGTTCTTGAACTTGCAATGATCCTTCTTCCTCAGCCTTCCAAGTGCTGGGATTACAGGCGTGCGCCACCATGCCTGGATAATATGCTTTGACTTATAGACTTTAGACAACTTTTTATGATTTGAAGAAGTGACCTAAGAACATTTAAAACATTTATTTTAATACTCTACTCACCATGAATAGTTTGACGTTGTAAAAGTTCTCTTGTCTGCTCTGGACAGAGGAACTTCCTAAAAAAAGGAACGGTGTGCACTATCAGTGACAAAGATGAAAATGCAATTTCTGTTTCAACCTTATATGGTTGTGTTTGCTTCATGGATTCACATATTACAGGCTTAATTCTCAGTTTATAATTCTCATAAAGCCTTTAACAAAGTCAGTGTTCAACAAGTAGTCACGAATTGACAGAATCTGGTAACATGAAGGAGCTATTGGAAATTTTTTTAGTGTAAACATTGCTTTAAGAGACCACTAATGGGTATATTTTATAGCCATGAAAATCTCTCCATTCATGTTTTTATACCATTGAATTTACTAATTTGAAATACCAAAGCTATTTGCCACTAGTTCTGCTTTAAAGAAGATAGGTCCATAAAGTCATACTGGACAAATGGCCATTTTGCTTTCTCATAACTTAAAAAACACACAGAAATCACCTTTTTTTAAAGTAGGTTATATCTTCAGCAATATAACATTGAAAACAGAGAAATTATTGCAAACTGCCTTTAGTCTTCAAATTTCTGTGCTGTATTTGCAGAATTGAGGAAGAGTATGATGTTTAAATTTTATTCTCTTTCCTTAAGAGACAAAAATTGAGCCTCAAAAGTGTTATGTAAATTGTGTAGGTACTTAAAATGGTCCAGAGGCTTAGACACTTACCAGGTCAGTGAGAGGAAATTGGTGCTTCCCTTGGACTGAAGCAGGAAGGGAAATTTTGAAAAAGCAGAGAATGTGTAATTAAAAAAAAACATGTAATGTATTCCAGTTGTTGACTCCTCTATATGAACCTCAGCTTTTAAAAATTTTAAAAATACATTAGTGCAAGTTTGGCCTTAGTCTGTATGTCTGTTTGGTGTGTTCTTACTGGAAGTTTGTTAATTCAAGGCACACATTTCTAATAGCCAAATTGAGAGCTCAGAAATAAGTGATCACAATTTTTAATCACATGTAACTTGGCATTTTAACTTACCTGGTGGCTTGATAGGTATGTTGTAAGGTTTATGCTATATGTTGTTTACAATTTTTAAATTTCTTTTAATAGTCATTTTCTAGCAATGAAAAATTTCCACCTTAACAGATTCATAGCCTATAGTACTCTTTCTCAGCCCACAAGGTGGCGATGGTCTACAACAAATAGTATAAAATTGGCTCTCCCCCCCCCCTTATTAGTTCTTCAAGACTTTGCAACAGTTTTAAGGATTTTCAGTCAAACATAAGAGATTTCATCAAATTTTCCCCTATGTTTTGGGATCATGTAAAATATTTTAGAAGCTTTTTAAAGTGTTGTAACACAATGTATTTAAATTTCAAGAAGTATATAATTACTTTCACCAACTATGAAAGGTAGGTAACCACTTTTTAATCATATAG